CTGACGCCCCCCTCTTCCCTCCAGAGCCTCCCGCTGACGAGGCCAGCGGCAGCGGGCCGTCGCCATCGGTGCTGCGCCGCTGAGTCCAGGTCTTGCCAAACTGATGGGGACCCTCCTGTTACCTTCGGTGGCATCAGGGATTCGTCCGCTGGCCTCTCCATACTCAAAGGGGAAAGATTTTAGGCACTGACAAGTTTTGACTGACGGCCATGGCTTTTCCTATTGCATGGGGAAGTGATCTCACGTCTGGGAAAGAGGGTCCACATGACTGATTTAGGAACTTTTCCCTGGCCAGCACTGGGGTGGTGTGGACACATCTCCCCCGCACAGGCTGTGAACCCCTCGGAGCCCTTATGTGGAGCAGCATTCCCGCGGCCTCGGGATTTGCAGGTTGTTACCGTATAAAGGGCACAGTCTTGGCCCAGCGGGAGGGCTGACCAGCAGTTTTGTTGGCAGGTACCTAACTTGGCTTTTAGTAGATGTGCAGCACGGGGTTTTGGATGTAAGTGGCGATGATTTCATTGCTTGCCACCAGAGGATAGAGCAGGGCTGGACAGCAGGGAAGCACAGGGGGCGAGAGGAGCGCAAAGCAGCAGGATATTCATGCCTTGGCATGCTGGGAGCGTGCGTCTTGGTCTCCAGGAGAGACACCTGTGACTCTTTAGGTAGCAAACAGACTGACAAGGGAAGTAATGGCTGCCAGACCATGCTCATGTCCTTCCAGTCAGTCACAGGGGTTGTTTTAGAGTTAAAACACCAATTTCGGTGGTTCTCCCAGCTGTCTCTGCTTGTGTGTGGGCATAACTGAGGAGGTTAAGGCCAGAAGTATCCCTTAGCTGTGCTCCCTTTAGGAACCGGTTATTCATTTGGTTTCCTGCAGGCAGCAGGGCAATGGAGCTTTTCATGGCTTTTGTCTTTCCACTGTGACTTTGCATTAGTGTTTCTGTCTATAAGATTTACATTTACATACTTCTGGTGCAGGAGAAACTCAGCTAATTAATACTTGTGAAAATGTTTAATGTATGGACTTGGAAACTGCACATTAACTTACCCAGCAAGCTGATATTTCCCTCCAGGGCCTCTGATCAGTGAAAAGCTCATGAGTCGGTACCAAGCCTGACTTTTTCTGAGCTTTCTCTTCTCTCCCTGTGCCCACAGGTGGCTGGAAGTCCAGGTGGTTAACCTGACCTGCACCCAGCGTTGGGTCCAGTACCTCCAGTTGCTACAGGAATCCATCTGGCCTGGAGGAGTTTTACCAGCAGTGCCTAAACCAGCCAGGACAGAGCAACAGAAGAAAGCAGCAGCAGAGCAGGCCCTGCAGAGCCTGATGGGGATCTTGCCTAGTAAGTGTGCCTCAGACATGTCAGCTGCCCTTGAGAGGCTGGAGAACCCTCCAGCGCATTTGCATCTCTGGAAATGTGGTTACAAATAGTGATGGAGCCTGCTTATGCCAAGGCAGTGGGAAACGTTTGTGGCCTTTGAAGTTTGAATGGTTTCCTGCAAGCAAAAACCAGTTACCCAGTTGTAGATGGTTTGCATAAACATTGGGGGAGCAGCACAGCCCAGAGAAAGGACGTATGTCTTGGTGATTCCCAGATGCAGAGTGGCCACATACTCTGTGCATAGTGCTGGTAGTTCAGGTCCTGCTGAGCCATCTCAAACGAGGTAGGGCTCAGGAAAGCCAGTGCCACGCTGTGCTCCCGCTTGCTGCCAAAGGGTACCATTGCTGGGAAGAGTCGTAAGGCAAAGCCTTTGGCTTCTTGCTCTCAAGAGTGGCTTTTCCACTGGACTGAAATCATGAGCCCAGCTGCACTGGATTTCCTTCTCTTGAAGTTTGACATGGGGACCTCTGGCATTAAAGCAGCTGCTGCCTAATCCATGTGACTGCAGTCTGAACTTTTAACTCCCTGCTGCAGTATAAGGGGCCCTTACTATCCTTTGGGGATGAAAAAATCCAACCAGCATATACCCTTCCAGGCTGGAAGGCTTTTCTGGCATTCAGTCTTGTCCTTGGCTGTTTTCTGTCATGGTAGTGTTGGGCACGAGATGCCTCAGGCTCAGAGCACCATCACAAACTTTGATTTAGCTCCCACCAGCAGAAGACTGACCCTGTTGTACAATTTGTGGGAAGGAGCAGTTCCTAAAGCTTTATCTCTGACATTGACAGATGTGATCCAAGAAATCCTTGGAACCAGTAAATGTCGGATGAGCTGGAACCTGGTCCTGGAGTCCCTGGGCCAGCCTGTGATAAACAGGTATGTGGATTATGGTCTCTTTACCCTTTGTCATGGGGCCTGTAAGCTATTCTCAGGGCTTTGCCATGAGATTCACGCTGCCAGCTTCTTGGCACAGAACATATCTGGCTAATTTTCCTGGACTGATACTATCCAAGGGCATCTGGCTTGCTTATTATGAAGGTGCATGTCTAGGACCTCGGTCTGGATGGAGATTATTGAGCTAGTCTTATTAATTATGTTGTTGGGCCTGCTTAGTTTGTGGATGTCAGGGGACTGTCGGAGGAAATCAGACCAAATCCTCTTTTAGTTTTTTAGCAGTGCTTAGGGAGCTGCATATATGTGTAGGTAGTGCTTTTCTGTGTACCCATCGCAGTGCATTTGGGAAACAATATTTTTGTGATAAACTGCAGAGAAATGCATGTGCCACCTCACTCCAGGAGATGTATTTGTGTTTCCTGTGCTGCTCAGCAGCTTCTAACACCCACTGGTTTGGGGGGGTGGAAAAAAAACCCTGAACTGTCCCTTGAAATATTTCTTCTAGGGTACAAGATCTTTTTTGTCTTTCCCCTGATGGCAGTCAGAATGCTGCTTCCCCGTGTGAGCTTTGGCTTCTGTATATCTGGAGCCGATCTCCCAGCTCCGCTGTGCACTGAGTAGCCTAAGCTTTGTATTCTCTCCATTTCAGGCACCTGGTTTTCTGCCTCTTGGACATTCTGCTGGAGTTCTTGGTTCTGAAGGGCTCCAGCAATGAGCTCAAGACCGCAGCTGTCGCGCCGTCTGCCTCTAGTGGCCTGGAGAAAGCAGGCATTTCAGCGCATTAGCCAGGGCTGGTGTAGCCAGCAGTGGAGGAGAGAAGCAGCCACAGGCATGGGATGATTTGATTTTCAGTGTTTACTGAACATGTCTGGGAGCTTCTTGTAAAGAATTTTTCCAGCTGGTCCTAAATGAGGCTGCTTCCAGGCTTCTCCGTTTTGGCTGGGTGATGGATTAAACCCAGTGGCAGGGGCTGAAAGATGCTGCACGGCAGAAAAAGCATCGTTGCGTTGCTGACCTGATGGAGAGCCTGGAATGAAGATGCCTGACCTCTGCTGAGCTGGACACTCAGAGAAGGATAGCAGGCTGCCCGCAAACCCTGTTGTCTTGCCCCACGTTTCTGAACATCTCTAACATCTAAAGGCAGACAGCACACAAGATTAGCTTTTGTGGCCTCAGGCTCCACCTGGCACTGGCATGCAGAGGCTCCATGTGATGGTATCTTGTTGACAGATGTTTCTCCAGGACAGCTGAAGGGAGGACCAAATGCTGTCCCTGCTCTCTAAGCAGCCTGCCCTGTGCCTACACCACACCATCCATTTTACCAGAAGGAAGATGAGAAGAGAATGGAGCACGGAGATATGGTGACAGCCCTGAAGTTGGCATCAGGGACCCATCCCCACTGCCCAAATAACTGGGAGGTCAAAAACAGCGCGGAAATCAAAGCTGGTGACTTGCCTTATGGACAAAGATAAGCTGCCTCCCGCTGCCACTGCTCTGACACGGCATCTGACATCTTTTGCTGCCTGAACAGTAGGGTGCAAGTAGCCTAGAACATGGTGCTGGAAAAGAGAATTGTCACCAGGCTAAAGAGGAATGGTAGCTGAGCTGGACTTTAAGATTACCTTGTGTTTTGCCTGCTGAGTCACATGTTGGTCCCAGAGGCTGTTACCTGGAAGGCACAGGAAAAAAGACAATGGTGTGTGACACACAGCAAGTAAATCAGCTCTGGCATAAAAGTGCTTGTCACGGTAAGCTCCCGAAAAGGAGTGAGCGCCTCTGAGCCCAGGAGGAATACCAGATGCACGTCACGGACAGTCAGTGGGTAGACCACAGCAATGGGCTTGCAAGCACCACCTTAGCTCTGTTGTCGATTGCTATGTCGCCCTGCTTTGGTTTACTATGCCTGCTATGATAACAGCTGGGTGCAGAGGGCTGTAGAAAGCTTGTCGGGTCATGATGACCAGTGCCACCCAGCGCAGAATAGCATGTCTATTTGGCAGCTGCTTTTCCGGGTCATCCAAGACTTCGAGTGGTTTTGCAAGCTTATGCTGCCCAGCTGTCAGGTTTGTGACAGGGCAAATGGATGCAGAGAATATGGACACGGAGAATATGCACCAACAGACCAGTTTGGTGAACTGTTCTGGTGTACTCCCTGGGAGAAATATGAACTAACCAGTGCTGGACTTTGCTGATCGAGGGGATACTGCACCTGGTGTTATCTACAGATTAAAGTGTTTAGAAGAAGAGACCTTGCAAGATGGAAGTGTGCAGGATCACAGCTAGTTTCCATGTTGCATTCCCAAATGGTGCATTTGATACAGCCTGCTGTTTCTTGTAGTTGGATACTATGTGCCATGTCTGGAGAGAAGGTGGTGTAACTCCAACATGAGTAACACTGGAAGCATATTCTGCACTTTCCCAAGGCAGCTGCTTAATAATGGACACATGGTGGTGTGTGCTGCTTCTTTCTGTTGTGTGCATGTTTTGTGACAACACAGGAAAGGATTAGCTTGCTGCCAGCAAGAATATTTTTAGGGAGCTCTAAGGACATCCCAGGACTAGGCAGAATCCAATGTAATTGAGCAAAGCAGTTTTGTATAACATCAGAGCCATTTCTCAGTAGCAACACTTGTGAGATGGTAGACTTGCCAGCTGCTAGGAAAAGGAGGGAGCATGTGTGTTACGTAGCTTAAGAGTAGATTAGGCGAAGTGTTGGAGAGTGCTCCATATGGAATAATCCCAAATGGCCAAGCATCGGGTTGGGGAGCAAGACTCCCATATATCCTTAAGCACAATAACTGCTTGGAGCAGCCGCTTCACTGCCAGGCTCCTGTTTCCCTTCTCTTTCCTACTACTTCCATTTACTACATCACCTGTTTTGAGGAGTAGGAGAAGGCAGTAGGAGAAGGAGGCAGCAGCCTGGGATGATGTAGCGTAGCCCTGTTGTGCTTGGTGGCTTCCCAGATGCTCTTGGTGAGCTTGCTTGCTATTGCTTCCTTATTAATTTTATGGGTTTCAACCTCCAAAACTCTAGTCTGCCATTGATAATGGATATCATTAAGAGTCTGTTTGCTGAGAAGGATCATTCAGAGACGGACTGCAAATTATGCCCTGCCAGCTCCCCGTGAGGGCCAAGGTCTAGCTCAGTCCTTACCGACACTGGATGTGGCGTTGGAAGGACCAGCTTACCCTTCTCCTTTGCCGGGGAGCCCTAGCATCCCTGTCTTTAACCCTGACCTCTGACATTAGGTGAATGACTCAATATTCATGTCTCCTGAAGGAAATAATTTGCCATTTCTGCTGGCAGGCTCTGAGGAGTGTAGGTTGAGAGCCGGCGCTTCGCTGGGATGGTGTGACAGTGATTTTTGGTTATACCAGACAGCTGCTTGGGGTGTGCATCCTCTGCACCTTTCATGCAGGGGCCTCAAAGCCTGCGCTTGGCAGACTTGTTCACGTGGTGGAGTAGCAACATCTCCTCTGTGTTCACGTGGGAGGAGCCTGGGCAGAGAGAGCTGAAGCAGGTTTACTTGCATGTGCTCTGAAATCAGCGGCAGAGTCGGGAACAGACCCTAGGAGTTAGGATTGCAAGATCTTTGTTTTAATCTCCAGAACCCTCTTTCTTTTCTTCGAGCAAGGAAAATAAACCGGGGTTGCCGGAGCCCTTTCTCATGCTCTTACTGGCTGGGCTTCAAGCTCCCATTCTCTCCTTCGTAGATCTTAGTCCATTCTCACAGCTGAGGTGAAGCTGCCCGGGAACAGCATAGGAACAAGCAGCTCCTCTCTGTATCTTGTTGTTAAGGAATACAAAATCAAATAAAAAGTTTGGCTTTTTTCTAATGCCAGTTCTTTGCCTCACTGAAATTTTCAGATTAAATTGAGCATAGTGGTGGCAAAGGCAAACTTCTGCATTCAGGTGGGCTGAAAGTTTATTTCCATTGGACTAAGACTAGAAATACTGCTTCGGTAAAACAAACAAGGCCAACAAAAAAACTTGAACTCACTCTGTGTGTCAGTATTCCCAGCGAGTTCCCTTTTTCGGCAGGAATTTGTGCAGAAGGCTCCAGCCACCTCTCGCTAAAGGGAGGGTGGTGAGAGGAGCCAGATTTGATATCAAGAAAAAGATGCAGGCTTCTGTCATATCAGGTGTAGAGCGTCACACGCTTCAGGTGGGTGGTCAGCTCTCTATGTCCTACTGCACATACGCGATCTGCTTCCAGCCGACCGCTTCCTGACTATGTGGCATAGAAGAAAGCATTGCATTTCCCCCCTGCCTCAGTTTCCCCTGGTGCTGGCTAGCTAGGCTGCAGGCTCACTGGAAGCAGGGGCTGCTCGTGGGTCTATACAACGCAGTGGTACAGAGCTTCAAGGCCCCACCATAAGCTAAATAGTAGTTATGTTGAGCCAAAGCTCAATTGTGTTTTAAGGGAGGGGGGGGTGGGGGGGAGTGCCACTGTGCACTGACTCCCTGTTGTATTTCATGTATTCAAACCCTTTTATCAGCTATTTGTGGGTGCTGCTGTTCAAGTCTGTGTAGAAGAGCATTGTCCTGAGAACCTGTTCTGTTGTTAAATAGGGAGCAAACGGGTGCTCCCAAGTACTTGTGAGTTTTTTCCTGACTCTGTGTACAATAATACTCCGTTTCAAACTTGTTTCTGTGTTTGGGTTTCAAATTCGCCTTTGCGAAGAAACTGCCTGTAAGACAGCACTTGGGAAGGGAAGAGCAAGTAGGGGAGAGGCAAGAAAGCCCCGTTGGGAGTGGGAAGGTGGGGGGCAGGCGTCTCCCCAGGTGCCCCAAAATATCTGGCTGGGGCAGCAGGGGTGGTGGCAACGGGTCTGGGGCTGTGTTTTGCCCTCCTGGCACATGGTGGCCTTAGTGGGACTGCTCGGACATGGGAAAGGCCAAAGTCCTTAGCAGCTCGGTCAGGAATAGGAACAGTTTTCCCATCTCTGGTGGCATCAGTGTCGCTTCTTTCTCCCTGGCAAGCGAACATCTTGATTTAGGCTTTCCAGGGAGTGTGAAACCAGAGAAGCAACGTGGAGATCTTTTGGCCTTTCTCCTGGAAGAAAGTGAAAGATGCCCAGAGAAGCAGGGGTTGTGCAGACCCATCTCCACATCCCTCGGGTAGTGCTGCTTAGGAAGTTCCCCTTGATATCGGTCCTGGAGGAGGAAAGCTGGTAAGCTATAAGGAAATAGAGAATGTCTGAAAATGAGAAATTCCACGTGAAATTTGAAATATTACATCGCAGAAAAAAGAAATGGAGGGAGGAAGAAAAACCTGATACAATGAATGCTTGAGTCATGTATTATTCTGGATTAGCTCTGCCATGGAAAGATCCCGTACGCCCTATGAAATCCATTACCTACAAGCCAGCGAGCGTTTGTACAGCACGTGATGTGGGGATCATAGCTGAAGCCAAGTTCCCCTGTATAATATCCACCCCAGGGCAGATTGGTCCATTTCCAGTGTCAACAGCCGGAGGATTAAGCATTTATCTCTGCAGAACAGTGGATAATTAATACCAGATCGAACGAGGGGCTCTGCTCGAGAGAGCTTGCTTGTGACTGTGTTTGTGACAGTGTGGCTTTATCACGTGCAGGCGAGTTACGGGGAGTGGGTTGAGGTTTTCTTTGCACTGTATGGTGCAGATGTTGTCTCGGTGACATGTGCCCTGTAGCAGAGCACCAGTAGCCACAGGGCTTTGCACTGGGGTGGCATCGGGCTTCCCAAATGAAGCAGAGGGTGATCTTTCCAATCACAGCCACAGGCAGTAGGTGTTAGGGGTATAAACCCATCAGGAGATATCTCCTTCCAGCTGAACGCTGGAAGAATGGAACTGGGGTGCTGTGATTTGCCATCTTCTGGATTTAAATGTAAAATCCAGGTTTTGGCAGTTCTGCCTTTCTTGAAATAAATTAATACCATTGTCCTGGCCACGGTCCAGT